CCTTCTTTCTTTGCGTGAACATTTGGGCGGCGTTATGCAAATCTTCCCACATCGTGACGTAGATATATGGGGGCGTGTTAGAACGAGCCGTTTTAGGTAGGCGTGGCTGACTCTTAACTTTTATAAAGAATATCTCTTTGGATTTGAGACTTTAGTCTTTGCAACTTTACAGATCTTCTTTATGCACCAAGAGCTTGTAACACTCCAAAGAGAAAGGAAAAATTTAAATCGCATCATGTGACCCCTTTAAATCCAGAGCCTCTTGCTGCAAGATCAGGAAGCAAACTATTGGAGTCATAATGCTGAAAATGACTGGAATGAAACTAAATTGCATAAAGTGTCAAATGTGTTTATTTCATATGTTTATTGTCATAGCAGGGAGAACAGCTTTTAGTGTTTTAATGAGGTTTTTAAGTGTATGTGATGTAATGGTTTGATTTGCAATACTGTAGGAAGTTATTTATTTAGGGCTGTGCACCATTTAGAATTGAGAATTTAGCTCCTAAATTTAAACTGAATTAGAACAGGAAGCAGAAATGTAATTGTAATTTGAATGTAAGGAAGAAGAATTAAATTGAATGAGTTCAAAGAAATTCATAGTAGTTTTTGATACATTTAATTTTTTCAGTATGAATTACCCATAAACAAGTTATCATACATGCAACATATGAAATATTTTCACAAACACTAGATAATGATAATTTTAATGCACGTTTTATTTTCCAGACTGCTATAATTGATCTCTACAAGCAGTTTACAATACTTAGAAGTGATCTGCTATGAATAATTTGTTGTTGTGTTGGCCACTGTTGAATTTCTTTGTATTGCAATTCAGTAATTTCCTTTGCTTGTAGTTCCAATTCCTCATCCTATGGGACATGGGCAACTGAATTCAAATTTACACTTAATTGAAAGGGAGCCAATTCTTAAATTCTGAATTTAGCCCAGGCCTGGTGATAAGGTAGAAGAGCATGGTTTGAGTGAGAGGGTGATTGCAGTGTCAGAGTGGGTTAGTGCATCATCATTTGGTTTATAAACAAATTTAAACGACAGCTGTCATAGAATCCAATGTCTATAAAATTAGACTTCTGATTATAGTTAGAGGAAAAAAGCTGATGATCAACAGATTGTGGGAAATGCTGTTTTTATAACTTCAGTGGCTCTTCCTGCAGAAAACTCCCATGACTGTGGTAGAGGAAGAAGAGGAAGAAGAAGCTGAAGTTCAGCCAGACCCTCTTCATCAGCTCATCCTTCACTTCAGTCACAATGCTCTGACAGAGAGAAGGTGACGTTTTCATATATAAGTACATAGATGTAAATACTTGCTATTTAAATACTAACTTACTAAACATATACTTACTATTCAATAATAGATAAACAACTGTCTTTTTTTTTTTTTTTTTAGTTTCCTAGAAGAGGATCCACTCTACATTGCTTATGCTGACATGATGGCAAAGGTCAGTGTTGTATTTAATTAAATTAATCCTTAATTCATATTAATCCTCCTTAATTTGTATTGTAAACGTTTTAAAGAATTTCAGTTGTGAATCCATATTTTAATTTACAGAGCTGTGCCGAGAATGAGGAAGAGGAAGAGGAAGAGGAGGGAAAAGAAAAAACTTTTGAGGTATGAAATTCCTGGATTTGAATTAAAGTAGCAAAAAATATAAAATCTTAATTAAAAATAATGCATATAATGGACTTTCATGGACTGTAAGCAGTGTGAATTTCAACACTTTTGTCATCTCTCACAGGAAAAAGAAATGGAGAAGCAGAAGATTCTTTACCAGCAGGCCAGACTTCACGCCCGAGGGGCTGCTGAGATGGTGCTACAGATGATCAGTGCCAGTAAAGGTACACATCATCTCTATTTCTGCCCCCTTCTGCTCTCTCTAAAATCTTAATTCATTGGATTTCCTAAAGCAGCATTTGTTTGATTGCAGGCCGACTTGGTCCCATGGTGACTGGCACCCTTAAACTGGGCATTTCTATCCTAAATGGAGGCAACGTTCTTGTTCAACAGGTAAAGAACTTGACTGGCCAGATGTTAGTTGTGTCCCACAGTAAAAGTAAGCTTGGTAAATGTGTGTTAATGCTGTATATTTCTTTAGAAAATGCTGGATTATTTGAAGGAAAAACGAGATGCGGGTTTCTTTAAAAGTTTATCTGGACTAATGATGTCATGCAGGTGCGTGTGAACATATTCTTGCACTTATCAATTTTGCCCTACAGTGATTATTAATTTTGTATAACTTTATCAATTCTGTATCTCTGGCAGTGTGCTGGATTTAAATGCATTTGAAAGGCAAAATAAGGCCGAGAGTCTTGGAATGGTGACTGAAGAGGGGTCAAGTAAGCCAATAAACTTTATTCTTGTCTATCTGTACTTTAAATGTGTTTGTATACTTTATATATGCAGAGTATATTTGCTTCTTTTTAGTATGTACAGCATTGGCAGTGGTATCAGTTCTGGTCCTTCCTTTGGCTGGCTGGCAAATGCTGCACCCTGATAACTTTGTGAAGTGCACTGTTATTGTGTACATGGATTCACTGCAACAGTGGAAGTTGCAGTATTCTCCTCATGCAATGTCAAATGTCTATGGGATGCCATTAACATTAAATGTTTTATTGTCCAGTAATTAAAGGGCTTCATTTTCAAAGGTGAAATGAAGGACCACAGTAGTGTGATGATGCTATGCACAACAACTTTAGACAAAGCAATGCAATAATAAGGACACTCCTTATTAATGGTGAACAATGTCAAATATCTAAAGATAAATATATGAATATTGTTGCTGAATTATTTCTGACAGGGCTGATGTCAATGTTTTAGTTTTTTTTCTTCATTGTTTGGTTTGCCTGATTTACCCCAAAATAATAATAAATAATAATTTAGCTAAATGAATTTCTGACAGGGCTGAGGTGAATGCAAGCTTCTTTCAAATCTTTTGGTTTGCCTGATTCACCCCAAAAAAAAAAAAAAAAAAATGGCATTGGACTTAATTTTCTTGACAAGTACCCCCACATACTGTAATCTGTCTGGATATTCTGATTGTTCTCAGTAGATTATAATTACTGTTACACAGTAATGAAAATAATCCCATCCAATTTGTTAATTAAAATTAAATTAGACCCAGTGGAACAAAAACTTACATGTATTATTATTATAAAGTATTTTATTTTTAGCCTTACTTTAATGAAAACATGTTATATACAACTGAGAACATTTTTATACAACTTTATATAAATTCTAATTTCTGTTTTTTTACTCTTTTGATTTTGGGGTGAAATACAACCCAGATTTATTCTTGAAAGGCTTGGTGATATGGCTTAGCCATGTTGATGAATTTGATAGGTCAGATATCATATGAAAGGCAACATACTTCAAGTATGATAACAGAACATGACTAAAACCACTGCACTGGAAATAATGCTAACACCTTCTTTAACTACTAATTTTGCAGGATGACCCTATACTCACAACTAAACAAATAAAGCCTTGTTCGATCCCAGTGAATAATATGACGTATATGTGTTACACAGTATGTGGTCCAGCTTTTAATTTAATTATTTATTGCATCTAAATAAAATCCAGAAGTCTTATATTCCATGAAACACATCTGAACTCTCGGTCTACATCTGTAACTGCATGTCCATCCTCTCACTAAATGTTCAACGACTCTTCTTATTTCTTTCTGAAACTCAGTCTTTCTCCATTTGCTTATGTCTGCTCTCTTTGTTTGTTTTCCATCATTTTATACTGGATTGCAGCCAACATGAGAGAGCGGGGTAAATATAGTTTAGCTACTCATTTCGCAGTGCTGTACGCTGGCATGTCGCCATTTCTCAAAACTTTTCCCTCTCCCCTGCTACTGGTGATATGAATGCACTACACTTCAGCGCTGGCTTGTAGAGACTAATGCATGCTGACACAGAATTAAGACAGAACTAAGACTAAAGCCAGGCTCATTTACCAAACCTAACTTTACTAAACTAGTTCACTAAATGGGAACGTTTTGTTTTGTTTATACCACAGCTACAAAATGAGCAAAGAGCTTTGCCATGCTGTGAATCTAGGGCTATTTCACAAAGCTGGTTTCTCACATCCCTGCTGAAAAATCCAGCATTGCTGGTCACCAGCAAAAGGTATGTTTTGCATGCTGGGACCAGTATGGGATGCTGGTTGCTGGTTTGCTGGTCCACAGCATGGGACGCAGGTGTGCTGGTGGAACAGCATAAGGTATGTTTTGCACGCTGGGACCAGCTTGGAATGCTGGTGTGCTGGTGGTTCTTTTGCCTGCTGGTATGATCCCAGCAAAACCACAACAAATCTCATATAGCCTATGCATTACATATCATGTTTCTTAGTGTGTGTTCATAGTCAATGACCAATTATGTAATTAATTTTAATAAAGTATTTTAAGAAATTAGTATAAGAAGACAAAAAAACATGATGCAGGTTACATATTTAATCGCACAGTAAAACCCCCAGTGTTACACTGCTCAGTTTTCATATGGTCCAAATCCATATGTAAAAGTAACACTGAAGCAGTGTTGCAGTTAGTGAAATAAAGTAAATTCACTTTACAGGATTGACTCACAGCCACACAACCTTAGATGAAATCAACTGCAATTGAAATCAATGATATCTCACCTGGGCATGCTTAAACAACTCCAAAAACAACATCGCAATGTTCAATTATTATAAACAATTTTGGCTATATTTATTTCATATTGTCTGCTTGAAGTCACCATTTTGGTGATTTGGGCACTTGGCCCTTGACTTTGGTTCAATTACTTCTACTTCAGCAGTTGTTGAAAGTGCATGCTGTCAATGTCAATGCTATCACTACTGTCTACAATATTTCATGCTCCTGACTGCAGTGGCATACCTTTTACTATGTACACTTTTTGAAATCAGTGACTGACAGCTGTATTTTGACACATGAGTTCTCAAATTAGCATTAAAGTCTTTAAAAACAGCAATTTTCAAGAGCTCTTGTTATTGAACAAACAAAGTTATATAAATCATGTTTTAATCTAATATGGTTTCTGCATCATTAATCAGTTAAATATAGAAATATGCTAGTAAAAACAATGCTTGTTCCTAAAGACACTGCTGGCATACAGACAACTGGCCTACTCGCACTCAACCCTGCAAGACCATGCTGGTGACCAAGCTTTACCAGCTCCATTATGCTGGTCCACCAGCTAGACCAGCACTATACCATCACTAGCCAGCATAAACAAGCCTGGACCAGATTGGAATTCATGCTGGTTTATGCTGGATTTTTCAACAGTGATGACTTAACTTTCACAAGTATGGCTTTGTTACAATATGATACAAAAGGATCTCCTCTTTATGTGTGCAGTATTAAATGATTAAAATCATGTCAAGTATTACTGTTAATTATTTCCAGCATATACTGTACACCATTCTTGTGAAAGTTACCTCGCTAACCCAGCTTCTTGAAATTTCTGTCATTTCTGTGTATTTATTGACAAGGGTTTCTTTTTCCAGTCAGTTCTTGGGATGCAGTTGCGAGCGTGCAATCTAAAGCTTCATCCTAAGTGAAGCAAGCCCCTCCCAAAAAAGTGCTAGTCACCTGCTTGCTTGAGACTGATGTAAATTTGTCATTTAGTTTGGCTTTAAAAATACGGCCCAGAAATAATTGCAGTTCTCTGTCATGTTTTAAGGTTCCAAAGTCTTACAAAATGATGACTTTACAAAGGATCTATTCAGGTTTTTGCAACTTCTGTGCGAGGGACACAATAATGGTAAGACTAAAAAATGTGTATATATTTTTTTCTATTTAATGCTACTTTTTAAAATGAAATAAAAAGTATTATTTAATTATATTTTTAATGACATTTTTGTTATATCTTTTTATAATATAATAAAAATAACTCCATCACCATGACCCATCCTAGCATTACCTTACATTTAATAATGTTTAATACATTGCAGAAAAAAACAATGATTTTCAATGCATTACCAATAAAGCAAGAATTAAGATTTCACAGAAAAACTCTCTACTTAATGCTTTACTGCCTATTCTTTACTATTTATTGTTTACATTTTTAATTCCCTCAACAGATTTCCAAAACTTCTTGCGGACACAGACCGGAAACACTACTACAGTCAACATCATCATTAGCACTGTGGACTACTTGTTGCGTCTACAGGTAACTCAAACTAAATAAATATGTAGAAGTGTTTCATATGAAAAAAAAAAAAAAAACATAGCTTTGAATTCTCACGAGTCTACTCAACTTCAGTCCTCTGTAATGGTCGTACTTGTTGTCACCACCAGGAATCTATAAGTGATTTTTACTGGTATTACTCTGGGAAAGATGTCATTGACGAGGCTGGGCAACTTAACTTCTCCAAAGCTTTGGCAGTAGCCAAACAAATCTTTAACTCACTCACTGAGTACATTCAGGTAATGCATATGCTCTACACTACTACACTATATTAGAGTTCAGTGGATGTCCATGCATTTCATAATACTGTGTTTTCTATTTTTAGGGCCCTTGTATTGGGAATCAGCAAAGTTTGGCACACAGCAGGTTGTGGGACGCAGTGGTCGGATTCCTGCATGTTTTTGCAAACATGCAAATGAAACTGTCACAGGTAACCAGTCAGGGCACTGTTAATGTGCAGCATTACCAAATATGATGCCTCTCAACATTAAATGTCATTTATTTCAGGATTCTAGTCAAATCGAGTTATTGAAAGAGCTGATGGATTTGCAGAAAGATATGGTGGTCATGATGTTATCTCTTCTGGAGGGTGAGTTATTTTTGCTTTCAAACATCATAATAGAACTAGTAAGAGACTAGCAATGGTTAAAGCATCAACTGCATGTTACAGGTAATGTGGTGAATGGAACTATCGGTAAGCAGATGGTTGACACATTAGTGGAGTCCTCCAGCAATGTGGAAATGATCCTCAAGTTCTTCGACATGTTCCTCAAACTGAAGGACCTCACTACATCTGATAACTTCAAGGAGTACGACCCAGATTGCAAAGGCGTTATATCCAAGAAGGAGTTCCACAAGTCTATGGATAGCCAAAAGCAATACACACAGTCTGAGATCGGGTTTCTTCTCTCCTGTGTGGAGGCAGATGAAAATGACATGTTCAACTACAAGGAGTTTGTGGAACGCTTCCATGAACCAGCCAAGGACATCGGCTTCAACGTGGCTGTGCTTCTTACTAACCTATCAGAGCACATGCCTCACGACTCACGCCTGTCCACCTTTTTAGACCTGGCTGAAAGCGTTCTCAGTTACTTTGAGCCGTACCTGGGCCGCATTGAAATCATGGGGGGTGCCAAGAGGATTGAGAGGGTTTACTTTGAGATCAGCGAGTCTAGCAGAACCCAATGGGAAAAGCCTCAGGTCAAAGAGTCCAAACGGCAATTCATCTTTGATGTGGTCAATGAAGGTGGTGAGAGTGAGAAGATGGAGTTATTTGTGAACTTCTGTGAGGACACCATCTTTGAGATGCAGCTGGCCTCTCAGATCTCTGAGCCAGATGCAGCAGAACGACCTGAGGAGGAGGATGAAGAGGAGTTGCACAGTCTGCTTGAAGGCTTGTCTGAGGAGGAAGATGCATCTCTTGAGTCGGCCTCGGCCTTCATAGCGGCCTGCGCCTCTGTGAAGAAGAGCATGTCTGATTTCCGTAAAATGCTGACGTTTAAGAGTATGAGGAAACAGTTTAAGAAATTCAGGAAACTGACCATCAGGGAAATGATCACAGGGTTCTTCTCCTTTTTCTGGATGCTCTTCACCGGGTTCTTCAAAGGCATTTTCAGCATCATCTTTGGGTTCTTCCATATTATTTGGTCCTCCATGTTTGGAGGGGGTCTTGTGGAGGGTGCTAAAAACATGAAAGTGACAGATATCTTGGGTAACATGCCTGATCCAACACAGTTTGGGATCCATGGTGATGTACTGGAAGCAGAAAAAACCGAGAGCAGCGAGTTGGTGGTGTCGGCAGATATGGTGCAGATGACTGGCGCTGCTGCTGAGAAGCTGGAGACGGATACGATTATGGATCTACTTAATCCAGCTGTGAAGAAGGAGGGGAAGCATGGGGCAGAACCTGGTCTGGGTGATGTCTGTGAAGTCCTGACAGAGTCTAGCGCCCCTGTTGAGAAAAAGAAGAGCCAGGTATCTACAGACCTTAGTCTGCGTAGATACCATATTGAATTTTATGTGAATGAAAATAAGGCTGTGAGGGATAGACTTGCAGTTTTGACAATGGCATTTAAGGCCCTAGATCACATGTAATTTTCACAACTCACAACTAATGCAATTATTTTATGGAGTATTTGTGAAAGTGAACTGAAAGTTTTTGGAAAGATATTTCAACAGCTGAACGGGCATGTTTTAAACAACAGTACAATTCATTGAACACCATGTACTTCTATCCTCCACAGCCTTATTTTCATCTCACTCAAAACATAAATATGGTGCTTCCCTCACTAAGGTCTATTATTGTAGTATTTGAATCAAACATGTGATACACTGCAGTGTTTTTATTACACAGAATGTAGCAGCAGAGAAGCCAGAATCCGAGCCAGAGAAAGCTGAGTAAGTTGACTAATTAGATGTTGCCTGATCATTTCTTTGTCAAAATGTTCTGACACGGCAATGTTTTTTAGCACTGAGAATCAGGAGAAAGAAGACAAGGCTAAAGAGGAAACACCTGAGAAACCAGCAGCGGCAAAACCAGCTCCAAGAGCCAAACGTGGCTCACCAAAGGAAGACTCTCCAGCATTCATGGCCAGCTTCTTTGCAGGGCTTAAAGTCTACAAAACCAAAATGCTGGTAAGAAAAGCTTCAGCCACATTTTTAGTACAAATTTGTCCCACAGGAAATGTTGTTTAAATGGCAAAGAAGAAACATTAACATTTACTTCTTTGTAGAACTACCTGACTCGCAATTTCTACAACCTTCGTTTTCTGGCCCTGTTTGTGGCCTTTGCCATCAACTTCATCCTGCTCTTCTACAAGGTGTTTTGCAGAGAACTTTTCTATTAACTTTAAATGTGCTCATGAATGTGAAGTCAACATTGAATTAATTTATAAGCATTTTGGATCACCTGTTTGGTTATTTGTATAGTTGCTCTCTTAACACTTTTGAACATTGCCGCTCTCTAAAGGTGACTGGAGAATTCGATGATGAGGAAGAGGAAGAGGGATCCTGGGGTGGTGAAGAGGAGGAAGGTGATGAAGATGATGAAGGAATGGAATACTTCATTCTTCAGGAGAGCACTGGCTACATGGCACCCACATTGACGTTCTTGGCTGTACTGCACACGATCATCTCCTTACTCTGTGTCGTTGGATATTACTGCCTTAAGGTTTATCCCGATTTCTTTCGTTTGGTTACACTAATCAGGATTAAGAATATGTCAAAGCCAGATGCTGCACAACAGAGTCCATGTAACCTTGTTTTGTCCTTGCTATAGGTTCCTTTAGTCGTGTTCAAGCGGGAGAAGGAGATCGCTAGGAAGCTTGAGTTTGATGGTTTGTATATTACTGAGCAGCCGTCTGATGATGACATCAAAGGACAGTGGGATCGTTTGGTCATTGCAACTCCGTAAGAAACACTTTAGACAGTCTCTTTTATTCAGTCCCTTATTTTACATTTACATTACAGTGTCAGTTTCAAATATTATTATAGTGTAGCAATCAAAAGTACTATATACTGTAGTAATAGTGTACATTAGCTCCACATACATCAGTACAAGTATCACATTATACTACTGTTCAAATGTTTGCAGTCAGTAGGAGTTTTTGTTTTTAAGTTATATTTTTGACCTTTTTATTGGATAGGACAGTACAGATCAGACAGGAAAGCATGGGGCAGATAGAGAGAAACGGGATCAGCCATGAAATCAAAATTAGGTCTATGGAAAAATTTCTTATTATCACTGTTGAAAACAGGTGTGCTGCATAATGTTTTTTGTGGAAACCATGATACAATTCTTTAATGAATAAAAAAGTTAAAAAGAACAGAAGTCTTTTGTAACATTATAATTTAATGTCATTATTGGTCAATTTAATGTGTCCTGGCTGAATAAAAGTATTAATTTCTTTTAAAAAACAACTTACTGACCAAACTTTTGAATGGTAGTGTACTGTATGTACATTGACATGAAATACTTTGCAAAGTTGATATGCTGTACTAGAACTTACAATAAATATACATATCAAAGTTTTTCAATAGCTAGAAAATGGTCAGTGATCATATTATCAACAGAAACTAAAAACCTATTTTAAACAATATTTTTATACTCTTTTGAAAGTATTTCATATTAATTGAGAAAGTACAATAAGTATTTGTAACTTTGAAACTTATATTTGTCACACTACAGGACCATTTAAAAAGAAAGTGAAGGCAAATGCCATTCAAAATACTTCAAGTAAATTGTAACCTTTTACAGGACCCACGATGTACACTTTCCTTTTAATTGATTTTAATATCAATTTTATCTCAGTATCAGTTTTAGTTGTAACTACCCACATACTGTTCATTAGTATACATATCCTTTGTAAATCAGATAGTAATTGATGAATCAATCCTTCAGAGCATCCTTTGAGTACTTAGAATCTTCCTTACCTGTCTTTCAGGTCCTTCCCTAACAATTACTGGGACAAATTTGTTAAGAGGAAGGTAAGCAGAATCACACAAAACTTGATGGTGCTTGAATTCATTGGACTGTCTGCATATCCAATTTCCACTGTCCTCTGTAGGTCATCAATAAATATGGTGACTTGTACGGGGCTGAACGCATAGCTGAACTCCTGGGTCTGGATAAGAGTGCTCTGGACTTTGATCCCACTGAAGAAGCCGTGGTGAAGGAAGCCTCCCTGGTGTCCTGGTGAGCTGACGGGACCTGAAAACATTAGGTTTGAAAGAGCATTAAAGCATTCAGTCATGTTTTGGTTTCAATTGCAGGTTGAGCTCAATTGATACCAAGTACCACATCTGGAAAATGGGGGTGGTGCTGACGGACAACGTGAGTATGGCTCAGATTTGAAAAGATTAAGAAGAATATCCTGTATCAGGACAATAACGTTTTGTCTTTCATCTCTAGTCTTACCTCTACCTGATCTGGTACACCACCATGTCTATTTTGGGACATTACAATAACTTCTTCTTTGCCGCTCATTTGCTGGACATTGCCATGGGCTTCAAGACCTTGAGGACCATCCTCTCTTCTGTGACCCACAATGGCAAACAGGTAAGTCTCATCCAGCAGGGGGTGACTGTGGAACAGCTTTACACCAAGGTACTGGTGACCTGATGAAAATACCTTCTTCATTTGAACAGCTGGTGTTGACCGTGGGGCTCCTGGCGGTCGTGGTCTACCTGTACACCGTGGTGGCTTTTAACTTCTTCCGCAAGTTCTACAACAAGAGCGAGGATGAGGATGCGCCTGACATGAAGTGTGATGATATGATGACTGTGAGTTTAGCTTTTAATTTTGAAAGGATCCTTGAAGTACATTTAAGTGTGTTTTTGTTCACCTGGCTGATCTGGAAGTCATCTTGGACTTGTACTGACTGGATGCATTATTGCAAAACACTACATTTTTCATTTATTATTGCAGAAATGCACTATTTACTATTTAATGTGTCAGGTCATATCAAATGCTAATGTGACCTAAATGCTTCTTATAGTGACTGGATTTTTTTATTTATTTTTTTTAATTTAATGAGAATGTTTTTTGTTTTTTTTTGTTATCAAAAGCTTAAAAAGTGCTTTGCAAGATCATTAAAAACTAAAACGAATCCCATGAATCCTCAGTGCTACCTGTTCCACATGTACGTGGGTGTGAGAGCTGGCGGTGGCATCGGTGATGAAATCGTGGACCCAGCCGGTGACCCATACGAGCTCTACCGCATTCTGTTTGACATCACCTTCTTCTTCTTTGTCATCGTCATTCTGCTGGCCATCATTCAGGGTACTGCTGTAGTGCGCTGCTGTCAGTGCCCGACTAAACTCTTTATAAGCCACACTGATCGCAACAGAACTACCCAGCTGATCATAATCTCAGTCAATACTTGGTACATTCAGAACACGAACATAATGGTGAATGCTTTCATTTTCAAACCAGGTTTGATCATTGATGCCTTCGGTGAGCTGAGAGACCAGCAGGAGCAGGTGAAAGAGGACATGGAGGTGAGTGCTGTCACACGTCTCACAGCTGTGAGGTCTAAAGAGAGGTCAGTCTGTTCCTGTTTTAACATTTTTTAATCTTCGGTGTAGACAAAATGCTTCATCTGTGGAATTGGAAATGACTACTTCGACAGAACCCCTCATGGCTTTGAGACCCATACCTTACAAGAGCACAATCTGGCCAACTATTTGTGAGTAAACACTGTATATGCAATACTGTAACATCCGATATGTAAAGTAAGACAACATTTACATTATTATAATGCTTCCTTTAGCAACTAAACACATCTGAATATTCAAATATTCCTTTCTAACAGATTCTTCCTGATGTATCTTATCAACAAAGATGAGACTGAATACACTGGTCAGGTAATCTACTAATCCAATTAAAACTAGTGGCTTATTTATAAAATCAATATACACTGCCTTTCAAAATTTGGGGTCGGTAATTAAAAAAATATATATTTCTGAAATATCTCTTTTATGCTTACCACGGATGCATTTATTTGATAAAAAATACAGTAAAAACAGTAATATTCTGAAATATTAATACCATAAAATTATAATTTTTTTTTTGTAATTTAGTTCTGCTCATAAGTTTACATACCCCTTGCAGAATATGCAAAATGCTAAAACCTAAATAAGAGGGATCATGAAACTTGCATGTTATTTTTTTATATAGTACTCTCCTGAACAAGGTATGTATTTATTAGCTAAATACATGCTTTAAAAATCATGCAATTTTCATGATCCATCTTATTTTATTAAATTTATTAACATTTTTATACATTCTGCAAGGGGTATGTAAACTTATGAGCTGAAATCTATTCGTGTGATGTCAAAGCTGAATTTTCAGCATCATTACACGTCTTCAGTGTCACATGATCCTTCAGAAATCATTCTAATATGCTGATTTGGTGCTCAAGAAACATTTCCTAATATTAATGTTGAAAGCATTCCTTGATATTTTTGTGGAAAGAAGATTTGTTTTCTTAAGATTCTTTGATGAATAGAGAGCAAAAGAACAGCATTTATTTAAAATATAAGGTTTTTTTTGGTCAAATTATAAATGTCTTTACTGTTCAATCAATTTAATGCATCCTTGCTAAATAAAAGTATGAATTTCTTCTTTTTAAAAAAAAAGTATGACCCCAGACTTGTTTATGGTAGCGAATGTTATTTAATAAGTTATATCTTGTAGTTATTCTTCTATTACAGGAGTCGTATGTTTGGAAGATGTATCAGGAGAGGTGCTGGGATTTCTTCCCTGCCGGAGACTGTTTCCGGAAGCAATACGAGGACCAGCTGGGCTAGAGGACATGTTGTCCTCAGTCCTAATATGAGAGAAATCACACACTCCAACCTATATGAACTCCTAATATCTATACGGATTTTAGGACTTTGTACAGGTTGGACACAACATCCTAAACTAGCTCTCATCATAGGCTGCTCACTAATTCATCCAATCAAAAAAACCTCAATCGTTTCTACACCAGAAATGACAGCGACATACTGAGAACTCATTGTGATCAAGCCAAAAATGTGAACTCAAGTGCAACATCGAGGAAAAAAAAACAACATGTAGCACACATTGCCAAACTAAGACACAAAGCCATGTTTGATTAAAAAAAAACAAAAAAAAATAAACATGCTTAACTCACAAATGCACACAAACTTGTGAGATGAGATGTTAACATATGTATGTTTTTGATGTTGAATGAATGTCTACACAAATATGCACAAGAATAACTTCTTAGTATTCAATGAATGCCAAACAGAATTTATGCCTGTTTGATTTAAAAACAAAAGACTATGAAGAATGTGCAATGCCTTTAAGGACGGTAATCTGACTGGTGGAATGAGAAATATAATGATCATCTGCTTCAGTCCACTAGCTGTTTCTCATACAGAAAAGTGCCTTATGACAAGAGACTATGCAAACATTTTGTTCCTGCTCGTATGTTTTGCTAGTTTGCATTTTAGTTTAGACTACCACTGACTGCCTCTCACCTGGGTTAGTAGTTTCGTAGCTTTAGTTGACGTTTGTTCATAAGTAAAGATTACACTGCTTTTTTTTTAAATGTTTGGTTAAGGTTAAACAGAAATTGTGTTTGCCTGATTGATGAAGTGCGAATGCAAAACAATGGGAATCTACATTCGAGGACAAAAACGATTCCATTTATTGAACAGAAGTCAATACTGTAAACTGCTATTGTATGGCCATTTGTATTTATGTAGTAGCTTTGGTGATTTGCATTTGTTTTGAGCAGGGGGAATGAAAATAAAGTAGCTAATGCAATAAATCCCAGTTGGTCATTGCTGCTTTTAATCGGAGTCAAATGATGAGTGAGAATATGATGGGTCTGAAAACTGTTACACAGAATTACATCACTTTTATGAGTAATATATTGAAGAAGCATTTTATATTCCACATGACTGAATTAGTCTTGGCTATTATAAGACAATGAAGTGTCGTGGTATGATGTTCACGTCCCCACAGAAGTCACAGTATGTCAGCATTAGCAAAGCTGCATGTGATTTAATCCACAGCAGTGTCAGTCAGCTTCTCTGGGATCAGGAGAGCATGCTGTCCAGCCAGTCCTCCAGATCCTCCTCTGCCACTTCCTGCCTCGTAGGTTTAGCTTCACCTTCCACTTCTGGCTTTGTCTCTTTCTTATCAGCTATTTGAGCTTTTCTCTCTTTTTCCTCCGAACCTGTTGAGGCGGTAAAATCACATTTTCACATCAGTGTACTTGAACCTACTTTGAAAAGGTTTGGGGTTTGTATGACTTTTTTTTTTTTTTGAAAGAAGCTACTTGTGTGCACCAAGACTGCATTTATTGGACAAATTACAGTGGGAACAGTAATATTGTGAAATATTTACATTATTCCCGTGATGACAAAGCTGAATTTTCATTCCTCCAGTCTATATTGTCACATGATCCTTCAGAAATCATTTTGATATTCTGATTTACTGCTCAAGAAACAAAAATAAAGTTCAAAAGAACAACAGCTATTTTAAATAGGTTTTTTAACAATGTAAACGTCTTTACTTTTAATCAAGATAATGTGTCATTGCTTAAAAGTATTAATTTCTTTTTTCTTTTTTTCTTTTAAATCTTACTGACCCATACTTCTGAATGGTAGTGTATTTATAAACAGAGACAGCATTCAACTACATATTTTGCTAAAAAAAGATGCAGCGATTAAAATTATTTAGCAAATCATTTGTTTGATCAGTGAACTGATTATTTACATCAACTGTCTCACTTAAATGAGTCTGATTTCCAAACACTAATTATGTAGCTTGTTACTGGAAGTTTCTACTAATACTACGTTTAGTTAGTTACTGTACACCCCAACACTGTTTAACAAAAAAAAAAAAAGAACAAACATACAGTATATACCAACCTTGTGTTGAGGTGTTTAGCACATCATCTGATATAGCGTGGGATTTGTCTGAAGTAATTTCTGTGATGGGTTTCTGCAAGCTGAGGAGAAGGTCGAGCTCCTGGTCAGCATCATCTGTGGCAGGAGGGACGACTGTGGAGACACAGAGAGACGGTGTGGTACCTGAAGCAGGCTTTACACTGCAGGAAACACCCAGGCCTGACTCTGGGCCTGCCTGAGAAGCTTTCAGTCCAGCTGTTAGAGTCGAGTCAGTTCTGTGAGGCACTGTCACAGACGGCAGTTCAACAGGAGTCATCACCTGAAACATATTAAATCGCTAGTACTACATTCTTCACTGGTACAACTAAGTATTTCATGGTATTCCAAAAAGAAAGGAAATTGATTCACCTGCACAAGCTCAGCCTCCAGGTTCAGTCTTGTGTGCAGTGGAAGCTCTTGAAGTGACTGAGTTAAAGCTGGCAGGTCTATAAACAGAGCTGGTATCTAAAGAAATCAACCATGTGAGAACATTTCCTCAAACAACAGGATTTCAATGATTGCGCTGGAAAACATCATTTATGAAATGACTGATCATGCACCTGATTTTTTGCCAGAGAGTCCATCTCCCAGTCCTTCTCATCAGAGAACCTGAACTGTGTGAACGAGTCCCCTAAAACAGAAAAACAGGTAATACATAAAAAAAAAAAAAAAATTAAAATTATATTAAATTTATAGAGCTGAACCAAAGTACATATGGTGAGTCACCAGCTAATGTATTAGTTTTACTTCAGCACTTTCAGGAAGCTTTGACTGAATTCTTTATTCAGTTGTAATTAGCGATGTGCCACTTTTAGTATTTTTTTTAATGTAGCATTTTTTTTTTTCATATTAAAAAGTAAAAAAAATAAAAGTCAAAATTAACAGACATAAATATTTATTATACATTTTTAACAGTACATTTATATTAATATTATTAAATGTTATGAAAATATATCATGAATAATAATAATATATGTGACCCTGGACCACAAAACCAGTCTTAAGTCGCTGGGGTATATTTGTAGCAATAGCCAAAAATACATTGTATGGGTCAAAATGATTGATTTTTCTTTTATGCCAAAAATCATTAGGATATTAAGTAAAGATCATGTTCCATGAAGATATGTTGTAAATTTCCTATCGTAAACATATCAAAACTTAATTTTTGATTAGTAATATGCATTGGTAAGAACTTCATTTGGATAACTTTAAAGGCGATTTTCTCAGTAGTTTGATTTTTTTGCACCCTCAGATTCCAGATTTTCAAATAGTTGTATCTCGGCCAAATATTGTCCTATCCTAACAAACCATACATCAATGAAAAGCTCATTTATTTAGATATGTATACATCTTAATTTTGAAAAATTGACCCTTTTTTTTTTTTTTTTTTTTTGGTTTTGTGGTCCAGGGTCACATTTGGTTTAATTTAATATATAAAATCAATATTATAAAAATATTGTAGATCCCATTATGTACACTGTGTTAATTATCCAGCTTTAAAAAAAATTATTTTAAATAAATACTAAAGCTGTGCTATTTTAGTATTATTCGTATATTTTAGATTTAATACTTAGCTTTAGCTTTATTCGAATTTAGTTTTAGTAATTTCAAGTTTTTGTACGTGTTTTTACATCAAAGTTTTTTTTATCTAATATTTGTTTTTATTTTTTAAGCTTTATTTTAATTAACACATTTTTTATTAGTTTTCATTAACAATAACCACTGTACTATAGCTCACCTTCCTAGCCCCTGTATTGCTGTAACAAGCATTAATAATTTTTACAACTTTGTTTTCAACCCTCTTAGTTCAATTCTAACTGGGACATAATAACACAGCCAAGAAAAACAACACTCAGATCTCCATATTCTAAACACTCGGTTCACTGCACACCTTCACAGCAGCAGCTGAACGTGTGCCATCTTTTGAAGTCACTTTCCCCTTGACACAAACAGCGTGAATTCTGAAGCGGCAGCAAGTTGGGACAGCTGAAGAAAGAAGCCATGGGTCTGTCACGCACAGCTGTCCCAGCCAGGGTGAGGCAAAATACTCTCTGCCTCCCGCCTCTTTCACTCAAGACACACTTGCCAACTGCAGTCGGCCAAACTGACATGGATGATACAGGGCAGGGTCTCAAGGTCAAGAGGAGCGATCCTGCTTCAAAAGAGCACTTCAGAAGCATTCTGCCACTTCATATACACTGAACAAAATTATAAACGCAACACTTTTGTTTTTGCCCCCATTTTTCATGAGCTGAACTCAATCAT